GCCGGGGCCGCCGCCGCCGCCCGCACCATGTCCGCGGCCGCCTACATGGACTTCGTGGCTGCCCAGTGTCTGGTTTCCATTTCGAACCGCGCTGCGGTGCCGGAGCAGGGGGGCGCTCCCGACGCCGAGCGACTGCGACTCCCGGAGCGCGAGGTGACCAAGGAGCACGGCGACCCGGGGGACACCTGGAAGGATTACTGCACCCTGGTCACCATCGCCAAGAGCTTGTTGGACCTGAACAAGTACCGACCCATCCAGACCCCCTCGGTGTGTAGCGACAGTCTGGAGAGTCCGGATGAGGATATGGGATCCGATAGCGACGTGACCACCGAATCTGGGTCGAGTCCTTCCCACAGCCCGGAGGAGAGACAGGATCCTGGCGGCGCGCCCAGCCCGCTCTCCCTCCTCCACCCTGGAGTGGCTGCGAAGGGGAAACACGCCTCCGAAAAGAGGCACAAGTGCCCCTACAGTGGCTGTGGGAAAGTCTATGGAAAATCCTCCCATCTCAAAGCCCATTACAGAGTGCATACAGGTTAGCGGCGCCTCCCTCTCCCACCGACCTCTGGGGCTGGTTAACCTTTGGCCTGGTAGCGTTCCCGGGCGGCGAGGACACCACACCGAGCCTGAAGGGTGCCAACATTTTGGATGAGATGCTGTTTAACTCTTTAAATAGTTGGGCCGTGTCGACACGGGCAGCTCACTCCCCTTAATTGCCCCCAGCCTCGGGGAGCCTCGGAGAGCGTGCAGCTGGCGGGCGGAGTGAGTGCTGGGTGCGAGCCCCGGCGCCTGGCTTCGCGGGAAGTGGTGCTGCCCCGCCCCCAGGGCTCCCGCACCCGGCGATGTTGGGGCCACCCTCCCTGGGCAGAGGCTGGCAGGGGTGGGGGTGAGGGGAGAGCCAAATGGCGTACCTTTTATTTGATTCTCTTGTGGGATTGCAGGGAAGTGGCCCAAAACCTGGGAGAAGCGGCACTCTTTACGTGGATGGAACCTTTTAAGGATGACTAAGGACTCGTTTAGCTGTATGCCTGCTGCTTTTCAGGGATTGCCAAGGTGGTTTTAAATTTGGCCAAGAGTCCCCAGAGAGGTTTAAAAGAACACTGCTTCAGGCAGCAAGAGGAGGTTGATCAAGGAATGGTTGGTGGGTTAACTTCATGACTGGTTAGCCTCTTTGATGAGGGAGGTTTCAGAGCTGATTTCCTCCCCCCTTCCCCCCACGTGACTTCGGGTTCACCCTCCACCCTGAACCGAGCAGTTCGGGAGGAGGAGGTGTGGTCCTTGCTGGAGGTCATGGCTGGATAATGACTGTTGAAACGTTCTGGAGGCCCCAAGGAATGGTCTCTCCGAGGGAGAGCAAAGGGCAGGGCTGGCCGGGTGAATGTGGCTAAGAAGACATGTTGCGGGATAAAATGGGCTTTGGAGGCTGGGGTCAGCCAGTTCTGTTGGTTCTGCGGAACGTCCTGAGGAAGTGGGGAAGCGCCGACACTTGGCCATGCTGCCTCACCATCTGTAGGGAGGTTCCTTTACAGCTGCTGTTCTGACAAGGAAGCGCGGGGCTTGGTCTTCCCAGGGAGCGCCTTTCCCCTCTGTCCTGACACCACTTTTAGAAGGTTGTCATTTTTGTGTAATCTTTGGCACTTTTAAGATCAGGCCCCGGGCCTCTGGTTTTTAAAGTGATAATTGGTTCATTTTGTTTTGTTTTGCGTTTTAAAAGAAAGGCTACATATCTGCATCTCGTATTTTACTTCCTTTGCAAAATGCTTCTTGTGGAGGTGGCTGCTGGCACAGGAGTAAAATAGTTTCCTTCGTGGTTCATGCAAAATCAGGTTCTGTTTGGGGTTGTCATCTAGGCTGCCATAAAACAGCACATTTTAAAGTTCGCGTCTGTATGGCTGTTGACAGACACGTGCCTGAATTGGGGGATGTGACCTTTAATGTGGCTTGCCAGGGGTGAAAGTGGGGTGTATTAACCGAGGGTGTTACTCACCGACAGCTGTTAGGCGGGCCTGGCTGTGTCAGCCATGTTCCCGGAGTTCGGTTGTTCACATGGACACCCACTGCCACCTTGAGCAAAGGCACGCTCTCCTTCAGGGAGCTGCCCAGTTGTGCAGTTGGGGAGGCCCGCAGTGCTTCTGTGGGAGCTACCTGAGTCTACCCGACCCGGGGAAAAAAAGATTTCCAACATTCTGGACCATTCGGCTGAGTGATTTTCCTCAGGCATTTCTAGAAATGGCTGCTTATGTGTGCATGCATGCGTGGTGCTCTTTAATTCTCCATACGGCAAGTCAGCTCAGCTGTTTCAGGAGAACCTTTCACACAGTCAAGAGTGGAAAACGGAGTGAAATGTTAGTCCTGTTCTAAATGCTACAGCCAGTCTTTTGAAACTAGTGATATGGTGATTGCAGGTGTCGTTGTTTATGTTCTGGAGCTCTGTAATACTAGGACATGGTAGAACAAAACCTCAGCATCTAAATATGGCCAGAGGGTACTCCTGCTTTAAAAAAAAAAAAAAAGGCTACTTTAAAATAAGAGACTTGTAGGAGTTTCCTGCATTCCCAAGTTTCAGATGCAGCTTCCAGTTAGATTGTCATTGGGGTGGGTAAGGAGCTCCCTGATGTTCCTTCTGCTGATATTACTGGCAAATCCAGAAGGTGGATGGGAGATAGGGTTGGAATGTCTGCATTCTGTGAAGGTTGTAAGAGCTAAAATTCCAGCCACACCCCCTGCTCCCTGTGGCCCAGCAACAATCCCTGAGGCTGCTTGCTCACTTCCTATAGAGCAGTGGTTCTCAACCTTCCTAATGCCGCGACCCTTTAATACAGTTCCTCATGTTGTGGTGACCCCCCAACCATAAAATTATTTTCGTTGCTACTTCATAACTGTAATTTTGCTACTGTTATGAATCGTAATGTAAATATCTGATATGCAGGATGTATTTTCATTGTTACAAATTGAACATAATTAAAGCATAGTGATTAATCACAAAAACAATATGTAATTATATATGTGTTTTCCGATGGTCTTAGGCGACCCCTGTGAAAGGGTCGTTCGACCCCCAAAGGGGTCACGACCCACAGGTTGAGAACCGCTG